TAAATGCTATTTACAGTGTTGTAATATTAAGCTTATCAAGCTTCTTTGTGAATACTATTCACAGTGTTATGATTCATAGACACTCAGATCTCTTTGTGAGACAGTCAATTATATTATAAATACTTAGATATAACAGTCTAGTTTTTGATAAAATTATACTATCAAAACTTTACTATCTCAGTTCAGATATAAACTTAACTACTGATATTCAGATATATATTATATAACTGATTCTATTTATTTAAATCAGTATAGCTTTTGAGCTGCTGAATATTTTTTATCAATATTTCTGAATATCTGCTGTAACTGATAAATAAATTTGATATAGCTATAAAAAATTCTTATAATTTATTCATTATAATCTTTCTTTACTTCATAAAACTATAATCTGATTCTTGATTCAAATCAGTTGAATGTGAGTTCTATTAAGAATATTGATGTTAATAAGATTTTATTCAGTTCTTCTATCAGTTTAGATATATTTACAGTAAAATAAATATTTATCTGATTAAAAAAAACTTTCAACTTTTTACATTTTTTACTGAATAATATAGAAAAATTATATTTGAGTTTTTGAGTACTGATTATTTACTTCAGCTTACTGCAATATTTGAATAACTTTTTTATATTATACTTTTTATTATTGATAATCAATTCTGTCTTGAATGTTATAGTTAACTTTTCTTTAGAGTTTGAGAATTTATATCTTTAAACTTAGTTAATTGTATTAAGTTTAGTTCTGTTTCAATTAATAAGTTGTTTTTTCAAATAGAAATCTCTGTAATTTTAAATTAGAGATAATCAATATTGCTACTGAGTCTCTAATCTAGCAAGCTTTTCACTAATTATAAAATAAAATCAAATTTTATAGAGTATTACTGAGCTTATTCACTAAATCAGAAAATAGTGTTACTATTACAGATTAAAATATAATATTAAGAGAAATATTTAGAATGACTAGCAATAGCTATAGCAGCAGTCTAAGATAGATAATAAGAATATCTAATAAAGTTTATAAGATATAACAAGTACTTAAAGTAGATGTTGTGAAGAAGTATATATTTAAGATGAGTTTATAATCATACTATATAACTTGAGTATAAGTAAGAGATGAAAGAGATAAGATAAAGAAATAAGAATTAATTATAATCAAAAAGATAAGCTTTCTTGATTCTAAGAATAATAAATGTGTTTAAATATATTTGAGTTTTTATATAAATTATCTTACTCACTCTGCTTACTTACTTACTTTGTTTATCAGTAATTATAATAAACACAGTAATTAGAGTAAGCAGTTATATAATTTTATAGTAGTCTCAGTTGAGAATTATTCTGTTTCTACATCTTTTCAATTTTTATTCAATAAGCTCTGACTTATACTGCAGATTTATAACACTTCTTTTTTTATCAATTCTATTCTAAAAGAATATAAGAATACTGTTAGTAGATCTGAAAAAATTAATAAATATTAATAAAAGTTGATGAAATATAAAATTATAGATTTGAAATAAAAAAATATCTGAACAATGATTCTATATTCTGATATTTCTTCTAATAAATCAATGACTCTCAGCTGCTGAATTTATATTAAAAAAAAATCACTCTCAGAATCTCAATACAGATTCTGATGATATATTATAAAAATTTTAATAAATAGTATACAGTAATTGATTAAAGAAGAGTATATATAAAGAAATATATATATTTATTATCAATAACACTACTAATTATATAATATTCATAATAGCAGTAAAATAAGATTGAATTTTATATTAGATTGATATAGTAATAATCTATCTATATAATCAACTTAATAAAATAATTTATATACAGTAATCTACTGAATTTGAGATGAAGATTTTATATATAATAATTTATATTGTTGAAGACTCTCTATATAGATTGAACTCTACTATTAAAATTTGATACAATTTTTTTATAGTATTATTTTATAAAAATAATTTTAAATTTAATCTCTACAACTCTGCTCTATAATATTATATATTCTACAATTATTTTTATATAATAATTTATATAAATAATTTTTATATTATAATAGAAGATTCAGTAGATGCTGATTGACTAGTTAATATTTTTACTAATAAATTAGAAATAAAAGATTTGAAAAAATCTTTAAAATACTTGAATATAAAGATTGAATATCATCTCAATAATGTTATAAAATTAATATTGAGACACTATATCAATTATTTAGTGCAAGATTTTTATCTAGATAATATTATCTCTGTTTTTATATTAATATTTGAGAGAATAAAAATGAACAATATCTCTGTATCAGAATAAGAAGAAGAATTTATCAAAAAATAATATTAATATAAAATAAAGTGCTTACAGTATCTGATAGTTAAATTACACTCAGATATTATATAAACAGTATCTCTACTAGTACAGAAGAATACTATATCTATATCTAAAATATAAAAAGTTTTTTTCTATATTATATAATATCTAAAAAAAACAAGCAATCTAGATATTTTATATAAAGATCTCAAAAATAAAATCAATGAATTCTTCAATATATTATATCTATCAATAAATTATACAGATTTGAATTGAATAGAATTATTGAATAATGAATATAAATCTATTTTAAACTTTATATTTAAATTAGTAGATGCATTAATTTCATGATATTCATTCAAACAATCTTGTGTTTCTTTAAATTCAAATAAAACAGAATATATAGTACTCAGTGAAGCAGTATATGAAATAATATGATTGTATAATATAATAATAAAACTAGAATTTATTACAGTAAAGAATCTCTTATCTATCAGAATAGATAATAAAGATTCAATTGATCTAGCTATTATTGCTGTAATCACAGCACACAACAAGTATATTGACACTTGCTTTCACTATTCTCACACACAACTGAATAAAGATGTTATTTCAATTAATTATATTTCCACTGAGAATATAGTAGCAGATAGATTAATCAAATCTCTGAGCACAGTAATATTTAGATATTTCATTAAATTACTAGAACTTTTCACTGACAACAGTGAGAATGATTAAATTTCTGTATGTAGCATGTTTTTGGGATGATCTAGGTTAAGATAGCTAGCATGGAATATTCATAGGAACACATCATGCATGTTGGCGCGTGGGGGGTGTTGGGCACTAGTTGCCCAGGTGGCCCTCCACCGCACGTGATTACCCCTATATAGTTAGCTAGCGATCGCACAATGAGAAGATTAACCATCCCACATTAAATAGGGGTAGGGCTCGATGCCTGACTAATAGAGTTGGCTCGATGATGCTCGGATTGCATGACATCACCTACCAGAAGCTGGCCCCAATATTCTGCGTTCTACTACGTTCATATCTTACTCGCTTCTTCGGTTGCTTCCGATATGGCTACGCCTATAGCCTTATGTGGCTCTATCCGCGTAGGTTCCTGGCATCAAAAGCGCAGCGCGCTGTGCACAAGGCCTTAAACCCAGGATCACAACTGTCCCTGCAACAACTCATCACCGAAACGACCATGTTTTGGCAAGAACCACGCAATGCAACATGCCTTGGAGAGCAATCAACTTCCTACGAAAGAATCCCAGTTGGCTCGAGGAGCCATATCACCTCCTAAACCTGGAGAGGAAGAAGATGCTGGAGGCTCCTTAGAGGTATGAAGTAATGAAAAACACTCACAGGCCAGCGACTAACGGAAACGGCTTTCCGATCAAAGATCATCGAAGACATCGTTAATCGTGCGAGTAAGAGCCCTACTGAGTCCGCATATACATTTGTTTCCGAGTGGCTCGAGTCTGTTGACTCAAACGCACTGTCTCTCAGCAATGTGCCATCTGGGTCGTGTCCGCAGTCATTCGCGTCTGGTAGATCCGCTACCCAGCTCGTAAAGGATCGATCGTACCGGTCACTGAACTTGGCTTCGCATAATATGCGGCTACGCAAACCACACGAGGAAATGCCAGAATATATAATCCGGCTCATTAATGAGATATGCCAGGACCGTACCTCTCCAGAACCATCGCTGGATTCCATCAAGCAGGACGCTGTTTTGGCTCTGCTGGAATGGGAGGGGTCTGGTCAGGCGGAGGTGGAAGGATACTTCGTTTCCAAAAATTTCCCGGCTCTGGACCCAAGTGAGAGCCTACGATACACCAGAAGACACCCTATGGCTTCTCATACGATTCCCAAAGTTGCTACATCCGAATACAACCTTGCCGTTCCAGTTCCTGGCATTCTTTACGGCTATAATCGTGATGTGGCATTTTTCCAGCACACAGCCTACCTGCTTGCAACGGGTACTGAATCCGTCGCCAATTCCCAAGATTTGCTATACCCGTTCTTCGACGTCGAGTTCAAAGGTGAAGATGGAAGCCTATGGGAAGGGACAAACCAATGTATCACCGGGTCCGCATCCTGCATTAACATGGTCGAAGCTCTGAATGCCTCACCACAAACTACCCCGGTCAGCTTCGACACCGCACACTGCCAGTAACGCACGGGGCCCATCCGCGGCCACCGTGCAGCCACCCATCGGTATTTCGCGCGAAACAACCGTCGTCCGCATCGATCGTCTGGAGGAGAGCAAGTACCATAGAGTCCAGCCTATTAACAGTGCCGCATTCTCCGTCACCATGAACGGCATTGAAGCCCGGCTCTTCGTCGCATGGAAGGAGAATAACGAGTATACCATGGCCAAGGTGGAGAGCTTTTTGCTGCAGTCGCCTGATCATTATTTAAAGTTCCGCAAACTTATCCGGAATATTCTGGACTGGGGAAAAAGCAGCCGCCTGAGTGAAATTAGGGGTGTCCTGGATGCCGTCTTTGGAGGAGATGGGGGGAATCGGGAGGTTTAGAGGAAGGTGAGGTTCCGCAAGCCTCTATCCGATGATTCTCTAACGTGACTTAGGAGAAGGTAAGTTACGGCAAGCAGGCTGAGGCTCAGAGGCTGTATGGCTAGTACAAGATTAAGACTTCGATCTTTTGCACTCTCCTCCTCTTCATATACGTCGATAGGTAATGCAACCACGCCGCCGTATCCCCTCGTCTGGCCGCGAGGACACAATTAGTGTATTTTTTAGTGTGTACATTAGTGTATTAAATATATGAAGGTTACTGGGCCATATGAGAGATCAGCTGTATTGATGTGTTTTAGTGTAATTTATGTAATCTATTTGATCTAGTCAACTAACTAGTCCTAATTAATATGATCAGAATGGAACTTCTTTTAATATCCTCTCTTCAAGCAGAGAGTAATATTACTACATGCTGCACAACTATATCTTTGCAATAAGATAGCACTATAACCATTAGATTATCCAAAAAGCTAACATAATCATTTGTTAAATGGTTGTGCTCATAGTATCTGTGGGTGTGGTGGTGTGGCCACTCAACCCATCATCTATCTATACACTGACAGATTGCTTTCACTTTGCATCTATTTTTGTACTATCTAATACAAAAAATTAGTCAATCTGATTAAAAGAAGCATTAAGAAATTGAAGATTATCTATAGAAGTCATATTTCTTTCTCAAAGCAGAGTGATCAGAGTGATAAGAAGATCATGAATATGAATGAATCAAGATAAAAAGATAGCAGATTACTAAAATAGTGAAGCAGTATCAACAAATCAGATTACATAGAATTTAGTATGAAGAATTATTGGTTGGTACATCAGAACTAACAGCTTAGTTGTTACACTAATTGTATTGCACTAATTGTGTCCTCGCGGCCAGATGAGGGGATAGCTTGTAAATCTACTGTTTTGGCTCTCTGAAAAAGGAGTATATATAGAATAACTAGAGTGGCTGCTGGGACCATGAATTACACATTTGGTTTGATTTGGTTTGGTTCTAGTCCATTTCTTGGCATGATTTTCAGTGGGATCAGAACCAGAATGGGAGTGTAAATTGACTAGAATTATTAAAACATGAGTGAAATGGGACTAATAAATCTTGATATTTCATGTAAAGTGACTGACTATCAAAAATAAGAACATGATCTGGGACTGATTATGATTTTGACTGAGATTTGGTCCTGTTCTGATGATTATATAATACATATCTAGATATCAATCTGATGATATGATTGGTGGAGATATTACCCCTATCTTACTAGCTGTCAATGCTCAATGCTCAATGGCTTGATATTAAATCCCCTATTGCTGCCAACCTATCACTGCTGCCAACCTACCTACCACTGCCAATCTATATAGGGTAAATCATGGTCCCATTTGATCCCATTTTGTAAAATGGGACCAAATGGGACTGGAATTGTTAATTTATAAGGAAAACATGACCTGGGACTAGATTTATAATATAAACAGTGTAAAGTGACTAATTTAATAAACACTATATGGGACCAGGACTAAGATATTTGAGAATGGGACTGAGGAAAAATTTGGTCCTAGTCCCATGCATGGTCACACAGCCAGTCTAAGAATAACCATGAAAACGCCGGAAATATGCTCGGTGTGCAAAGTCGGTTCGGAAAAATGCTAAACTAGCCGAATCAAGCTGCAGCGACGTCTGGTTTCTTCTTCTTGGAAGCTGTCTCCTTCGTGGAACCCCGTTTGGATAACATTTTTGCTCGCTCAAAATCTATAACCATCGCCCCTTTATTCTCTGCGTTCCAAAATACGTTACCGTCATGCAAATCATCATGTCGAACCCCTAGACGATGAATATCAGAAACAGCCTTGTGAAAGCTTGGACGTATATCTGGGCCGTCATGGAACTTGGTGGGTGTCCCTGCATGGCTGAGGAGCAGTAGATAACCAATTCTCGCAATACCATCGTAAAACAAGGGGCGGCAGGATACATCCACACTTCCCAGGCAAACGGGTATTCGTGTTCCTTGAATGGAATGTAAACGTTGGTATACATGTTCTTCGTATGCGGAATACCCGAATTCAACAGGCGTTCCTTTGGCTACACAGCGATAGCCGTGTGAGAAGAGAGTAAAGTCGAACGAAGTTGCAGATATTCCATGTTTATGCATAGATTCGCAGCCGAAAGGACCCCCGTCATTTCTCAGGATCTGCGAACGAGCCAATCTTAACAATTCGTGGTGGTCAATATCATGCCGTTTACCACCCCCGTGGCTAGCCACATTCGGGCAGTTTCTGTCAAGAAGGTCACCATTTACCAAACCTAGAAGACATTTCTGCGTGCAATATTCCCTCTGCACACTCGTTTGTGTATTGCCACCCCCTTGAGCTGATTTCGGAGGGGGTACAACGACCATGATATTCGATGGACGAACAGGAAGCCTCGTGCTTGGACTGTCAGAATCATATACGCCATTCACACTGCTGCCATTTTTACTAATCTCCCAGTTTGTTGATGTCTTCTCGGTGATACGACACGAGTCGTTGGCGACAGGACCCTTTGACCATGTCTTGATTGGTGACATGCGTATATATTCATTTCTGCTCGGTCGATTCCGCTTGTATTCCGACAGTTTCTTGCCGCTGCTATTTTCCGAATCAGACACAAAATCGTTATGCTTCACTTTCCATTTTTTGAGCACCATTTCAGCATGGTTACGCCAGGCCTGGTCACGGGGAGGAGTTCTCAATGCGCGAAGTGTGAAAGTCATCACCTGGCCTATTGCCGTCAGATGTAATCTATTTTCGCAGTTAGTACCGCTGACCCAGCCGGTAGTTTCTCCAACATCATCGTTCGGGACAGAGAGATAATAGTAGACAGTGGTAGGGTCATCAGGATCCACACGGAGAAATATAAACGTTTCTCCAGTGCATAGATAGCCATACTCCAGGCCGGCTTGAATCATGTATGAAAATGTCTGCGATATACATGCGGCAACTGTCCTGCGGGCTTCCTTCACCCCATGGCCTGCCCTTGTGTACATAATCACTTTGTCAACATCCATATCCATAAGCCCTGCCTCTATAACACCCTTGGTAAATATGTGTGGTGCCTTGTACTCGACAATGTAAGCCGGTATTTTTTCACCGGGTCCCGTATTGTACACACAAAACTGATCGGCACGAGGGCGACACGATATTGATCGCACAGTTGGAGTTAAATGGCGAGCATTCCCATCCCTACCGACCCCCTCCCGCTGCCTGCACGCCGGTGGCTGTTGTGGAGACCTGACGCCCGGCCCAGAGTATATGTATTCGGTACTTAGACTGTTTCCGTGGTTTTCAAACCATATTTCACCCTTGAGGTTGAATATATTTCGGAGGCTTTGATTGGAATATAGTTGTCGAATAACAGCGGATACACGATCTTCAACGGCATAGCGCTGATAAAAGACTAGGTCTATCTCGGAGCCCAGTGACCTCTGCCGTAACTCATCGCCCGATTCTCTTAGTGTGTTAAAGGATGTGAAATGCCCTTCTGAAATAAAGTTGGTGGCAAAAAGGTCCTTCCATACAAGTGACTGCTCCTGAGGGAAGGTGGTCCATTCTCGGATTTTATCGGGGCGCAGCTTGGATATAGCATTTTCAGGCACTCCTTTGGTTCCGGTCTGGTGGTTGATACGTGAGGAGAAACTCACAGATAAATGAACGTGACAGGCATCTAAAAACTCAGGAAGGGAAGTTGGCAGCATCTGTATTTTCAACTGTCGTGTTTTTTCTTCCACCTGTCGTTTTTCTTCTTCTGCCTGTTGCAGATCACGCCTCATGTTTGACAGGAGCGTGCGGAGCTCCTGCTCGTGGGGCTTCCCAAAATCTCGATGGGTCATGGTCCTAAGCTGAAATAATGGGTTTCTCGCAAGTTGAGTCTTGCTGACGAAGTTCCAGATACCCCTCATCATGTTTCCCGGTGCCTAACACTCTGGCTCGGTGTCAATATTATTCCCCGAATGCGGATTTACCACCGCGTTGGGATCAAACATAATGCTCGTGTGAAAAACGTCGGCTTTCATTGGTATATAGAGGCTAAGGTAGCAATCTCTTATATTCAAAGCTAATCGCTGATCTCCTAGCATCTGCGGATATCAGCGAGCATTATATAGACAGGAAGCGCGTAGAATGAAGCAGTGAGCCATCATTCGATTTGCTCGTGATTCGCCACGGTTCTATGCTGGAAGTTTCGAGTCAGCGGGGAAAGAAGACCCTGTTGAGCTTGACTCTAGTTTGACTTTGTGAAAAGACGGGTGTAGAATAGGCGGGAGTTCCGGCGCCGGTGAAATACCACACTATCTTTATCGTATTTTACTTATTCAATGAAGCGGAACTGGGCTTCACCGCCCAATTCTGGCGTTAAGGTCCCTCGCGGACCAATCTGAGTTGAAGACATTGTCAGGCGGGGAGTTTGGCTGGGGCGGCACATCTGTTGAACCATAACGCAGGTGTCCTGAGGGGTTCTCATGGAGAATAGAAATAAATCTCTGGAGAACAATGGTTGGAATAAGCAACGTCCTCCAACCCAAAAAGGGCTAGTGTCCTGCAACGTCATGGCCTAAAACTGCCACTAACCGCAATTGGTAACTGTGTCCCAGGCCTCAAATACGCCAAAGAAAGATCTCAAGACCATCCTATATAATACATGATACAGTGAATTTTAGGTATCATGCACTCTTTGACTTTTGTAAAACACATCGTTACCCTTTCGCAGTGAGCCTCATGCCTCCTTAAACTCAAGAATAACGAACCATGGCGAAGGTCTGCTTCCCTCGTCATCTCCGCCAAACCAGCATCTTCCACGCCCAGTCCCGGTCCCCACATGCGGCCCAGGTCACCCCGCTACGTCCTCCGACGGTGCATCTCTGTGACTTTCGCCATGCCGATAAAGACGTTCCCCGTAGATATCTAGCTCATATCCGCCGCGATGACTCAGAGTTAGACCTCGTGCGGCTCACGCCGGTTTACTTCTCTGCCAACAGGCCTCAGAGATGGAGTATGGGGTTGGGTAATGGCAATGATAACGGAGAGTATAAACCGTTAGATGAACGGATATTGAAGCTGGGAAAAAGTATGATAGCTTATTTCAATATTTGTCAATACCTCTCGCGACACGTATTTGCTCTTCTCGAAAAATTTCTCGCCTAGGTCGTGTGCTAACCAGCTGGTATCAAATCCTCTTTCCACAGCTCTTCGCATCCTCTCCTCCCATCTTCCAGGCATCCTTGTCAATCCTCTACCACAAGAGATCCTTTCTCCGAATATATCGCTACATCTATTCCCTTCGACACACCCTCACCTCCCCATGGTAAAGGGCAGAGTACCCTATCGCGCTGCTTTGTGGACTGCCCCAGTAGCCTGGGGAAGTGTCCCAATAGTCGGCAACGTCCGGCTAGATATCATAAGCGAACGAATGGTGAATTCCCCATCCATTGCGGAATACGATGAAGAGCACAAATACGGTGATGAGAAGCTAGTAGTTCGCTGGCGAACTGAAGGAGGCAAGACAGATTCTCCCGGCTACTTTGGAAAATCGAGTCCTAAAGAATCTCCACCGTTCACCAATGGAGAAGCTACGACGAATAACTCTTCCACAACCAACAAAGATATGAGAACTAGTAGTGAAACGCAATCAGCGCTGTCCTCCTCATCGAATGGAACAAATCGTGGTCTCAGCAAGCTGTTAGGCGGAGACGCACCGATTTTTAAACTAGGTCAAGAGGAACAGTTTAGCGGGCTGTTCATCTTCTTGTTTGATGACGAGGGCCGTATCGCCAGTCATACCATTGAACATGCCGATGAAAGCAATGGATGGGACAGAACGGCGAGGGTTGTCACACTGACGGACTGGCTGCTTGGGAAGGCCAAATGGCCCGGATCCAGAGGCGATGCTGGCGCAACACCCGCACTCGCTGTCGGTCTAGATCTTTCGCGGGATGACAAAATGCTGTTCAAAAACAAATCTTGAAAGTTAAATCGGGATGATACTAGTTTATACTGAACCCTCAGTATGTGTTTTCTCTACCTCTATGATGAATTACCGAACCACAATTTTCAAAAAACATTTCATTACCTTGGCTCGTGCAAGGTAAATATTTTTTTCCATTTTGTTTTTTAAGCAATCTGAATAGCCGTCCTTGGGGGATTTTCTTAATTTTCCATTCAACTCTCGCGTGGCGTTATTACTGGGTGACTTTCTTCCTTTGTTCCAATTATTATGCTTTAATCACGTTCCCTGCGATTACCTTTCCCATCACTATCAGTACCAATCCCGCGTAATGCGTATATGAGATCCGGACTGGATGCATGTGGAGAGGTTTGTTTTTTTCAATTTCCTTTCCTTTCCTTGTTTTCTTCGTTTCCCCGTTTACTTTTTGGGGGGCTTCATATAGCAAGGAGCGGGTCATTTTTTGGTTCATAGCCTGCAAACCATGGCCCCCAATATTGTTATCCCTATCCACTTAGGATACCTCTCCACTGTACATTAATTTTCTTTCCCTGTTTCTTTCCTTTTTCCAATTTTACATATGTTCAGTATGTCTAATGACTCCTGTCCAGCATGTATCAATAGCCACAATCTCCCCTTTAACAACAATTAGTTGTGATTCTATTTTGAACTCCTCTCCCCAGGTTGGACCCTTGAGATTCCGCCGAATTGATACACACAAGGCATCCATCGCTAAGCTACATCGGCGAACAGGATCAAGTATCATTCTACCTACAATATACTTTATAAAGGTTGTAGGAAACATAGTCTATAAAATAACAAACCAAACCCAATGCCATGATTTACCTTATACATCTACATTTCCCACATGTACCTCCAACCTGTCATGTCCTTTGCCGTGGAAGAATTGTCCCTGTGCGACGGGTGGTGATATGGACCAGTTTTTTTCATAGAACCGAACAATCTCTCAGAATCTCGATATATGTAGCAATCCTAGAACCCGTGTGCAAGGTGCTGCCTATGGCCGGTATTTGAAGAGAAGTGCGGCACGGCCGGTATAGGATCCAAAAATGACGAGTGAACATCAATGGAGTCAAGCACTATGCTTCATGATTGCCTCATATAGCTTTGGACTTTGGGACGCCAAACGGTTTAACAAGCATCGAAGAGAACCGATTAAAAAAAAAAATCAAAAAAAGACGGGTCTGCTTTTCATCAGGCAATCGCAAGAATCGTAGAAAAGGGGGCCCGAGTCAAAAAGTCTAGCCATGATGAATCAATTTCATGTTCATAAAAAACCGACACAGTTGCCTAAGTAGCTGTAGATAAGCTAAAACTAGGAAAGGCTATATTGGTACCATGTTTGGATCCCCCCTTTTCCTATTGCCTATTTTATCCCGCTGCCCATTATCCCCATAACAGTCAACTATTAAAACAAACCCGTGAGGTATAATCAATGCAGTGTATGTGTCCTTTTTCAGTATTTTCAAGCCAAACCAAAGGTGAACAGAATGAATTCACAAGCCCGAGAAAGTCAAAAAGAAATACAAAATGTGACATGAACATGAGGGCCTCCCTCCATTTTTATCAGGCTTTAAGCACCTTCGACACCTCATATGCAACGAACGCAAAATCCCAAACCAAGAGAGAAGTGTATATATCCTTTTTCCTTCCCTTGCCAAAAATATATATCAAAAATATGCCCGCAAACTGGTTCATCTCATATTTTTGAGGTGACGGGTGTTCTCAAACACCCAAAAACAAGTGCACAAACGCCCAACATCCCTACTCCGCCAACCATATATGCTACCTCCCTCCCTGCCCACCAAAACAACGTACAAAAGACAACCGGGCCTGACGCCCTCCCTGCCTGGCCCCAACTCCTCAGCCTGCCCAAAAACACTCCCCGCTCACCCTCGCTAGCCTCTAGGCTTCCCAGACTATTCAAGCCCGTGACCACTGTGGCACTGGTGACTGCCAGCAGGCACCCGGCGCCGTATAGACCTGATACGGTAGAGACACGCGATAAGATGAAGAAAGAGAGAGCGCAGGCAGTGACGCCAATGCGGACGGTTAGTAGCGGGGGGAGGCGGCGAACTAACGTGCCCTGGAGGAGGGAGGCGAGGAGGCCCATGACGGAGAGGAGACGACCATTTTGGGCAGAAGGGGAAACCGAAGAGTTCGTGGATGCGTAGAGAGTGGTAGTTAAGAAAGGGAGTGAGAATTCAAGGCCGGAGAAAGGGAGGAGGAAGAGGAAGTGGGTTAGGTTTAGGAGGATTGGGGGGTTGGTGTAGTTTTTTGGCGTTGCCGTGACTTTGATAGTAGTGGATGGTTTCTGCTCCGCTTTTAGATTATTCTTGTCCAATTTGTCACCAACAGAAGTCGCAACAGCGGGAGTAGAGGTAGAAGAATGCACATCCTTCCGAATTTTCGCAAATCGCGGATGCGTTTCCGGCAGATAGAAGTATAGATAGACCGTCTCCACTACAATAAGGAGTAACGAACAGCCCGCCGCGGTTGCGAACGGATTTTCTGTCACGGTGGTAATCCCCGCCAACGCGGCTCCCATCGCCGGCCCAAACGTAAATGCAACACTAAAACACACGCCCACAAGTGCCATTGTCGCGCCCCTCTGTCCCTCGTCGCTGATATCCGTCGCAATAGCATTCGCAATCTGCACATTCCCTTCACTAAGACCTCCGATAATCCGACTACCCAGAAACGTCCGGAAGTCCGTCGCAGCTACCCACAGCGCGACACTGGCGATGTTACCCGCCATAGAGCAGAGGAGGGCGGTGCGTCGGCCATGGTTGTCAGATAGGCGGCCGATGAAGGGGGCCGCAATGGCTTGGAGGAGGGAGAAGAGAGAACCCAAGGCTCCGCCGAGGAGGACGATGTCGTAGCGCGAGTCGATGGGGCGGGCAAAGGAATTTTTGTATGCATTTAGGTAATGCAGGATACGGTGGAGAAGGGAGGTTGGTGAAGGGTCGCGGTTCAAGTAGAAGGTTAGGAGGGAGGGGAAGAGGGGGAGGATGAAAGTGAAGGAGACCTGGAGAAGAAGTCTTCGGTGTTAAGGTCTGCTTTTGCAGCTGACTGAGGTGAAGGATCCTAAGGAAAGATTTGGAAATCCACGTACCAAGTCAAGGAGGAGGGATATAAAGAGGACTTTAAGGATCTGTTTGCGCCGTGATGGGCTGACGGTGGTTGTCCCCATAGTTGGAAATAATCCCACCACAACCAAGGACAAGCGGAAGGAATCAGAGGAAGGATTTCAGGGCATCCTACAAAAAAAAGGTTAAAAAGTAAAAAGATACAGATAATTGATGAGCTCCTAAAGAATGACGCCTAGAACGGCTGGAGAAAAGAGAAAAGGAGAAGATGCAGCTTGTAGGAAGTGAATCAGCAGCAGAAGCAGGGATGTTGTCGGAAGAAGCAACACGGAGCTTGAGTTTTGGATGTCGTCAGCGGACTGGAGCAGGCACGTGGTGGTAGACAGCCCTAATTGGTTTCACCATGCTACATTACTCGTAGTTTGAGTATAACTACTCCGTATACATATCACAATGGCGCAGGTTGCACGGAGTAAATAAGAGCCTGTTTTTTGCAATGCTTTACGGCGTATGGAACTCGTGAAAGACCCCGAGTCAAACTCGCATTATCATCTTCTTACTATAACAACCAATATCAACCCCGGTTTGCAACCCAAATGCTCCGAGCCTGCACTAATTCAGCGACAAAAGCGAAAAAAAGAAGACATAGAATCCGCCAAAATCTCCCTCATGTAGAAGGAAGCAGAGAAGGCGGAAAGTCTGCCAGGTAGTAAGTAGTATGCCAAATTCGCCAAATTCCAAATTCCAGATGCGACAAACAGAAGCACTGGCAGGAATCAAAACCAAACCGTCGCCCCACCCTCCCATTCGCAACATTTTGCACTCGTGGGAAAGGAAACATGAGGGAAAGGAAAAACTTTGCGGAGGGGTTTTAAATACCCATCACCATGCGGCACCTGTCGTTAAATTCGTCTCACAACACAAACACACTCTCTTGCTTTCGTGAGGTTCTGGGAGGTAAAAAAAGCTCAAGCACAAAAAGGAGGAGAGGATAAAACTACAGTGAAGGATGGGATCAGATGGGAAAACGATATAGGTAAGACGACGAAAAGAGGATAAGTCAACCGCTAGCATGTAACGCTGGAGATACATGGGGCACCTCTGCTTTTCTAAGACAAAAATAAGAACGGGAGGGTATGGGAATTGAAGGCGAAAAATGTAAAAGCAAAACAAAACACACAAAAGAAAAGAAAAGAAAAGAAAAGAAAAGAATAAGAGGCAAGACCCATGAATACCTAATGCACGCTTGGAAAGGGACCAAAATCAAAGGAAAAAATTTCAGTGAGAATAAATCGCAAGCGCTGTGGATTTGTTTTAGTTTTTAAATTTCCCTTTGCCGCTGATAAAGCCATTGAAGAATACTAGAAGCGTAGATAGGTAGGGGAGTGGTAAATATCAGAGATTTGAAGGCGGAGGATGCTTCTTTTTTTCCTTTCCTTCCCTGTTCTTTTTCTTATTTGTTTTATTTCATCGTCCGTCTTTCAGTTTCGTTTCGTCGTCTTTGTGAATAAAGTATTTGGGTTAAGTAAGGTGTTTTAGTGTATGTGGGTGTGTGTGTGAGGTATGTTCTCTTTGGCCTTTTTTGTGATGAGGGCGAGAGAAGAAATGACGAGGGGCGATAGTGGGATGGATACTAGAACCAAATTGAGCGCAAAAAGAGGTTGGACTTGGAGTTCGAGAGTTGGCTATATGGTAGAGAAATCGCAATGTGCAATGTACGTCAGAAGGGAGCATGTGGAGAGAAAGGTTGAGGTACAAAGATGATCAAGCGTTCTGTTCGGGGTCCCGAGAGAGGAAGGGATTGAAACCTCTTCTCTCGTGGCGGGTCCTGAGAGATACCTATGCCGTGTGCTCCGCAGGAGCTTGGGCAGCATGGGACTGTTGTGGAGGTCCCTGCGCGTTATTATACCCACCACGCCCGCCGCGGCCACGGTATTCACCACCACGACCGCGCCCGCGCCCGCGATAGTCGCCGCGATCCCCACGGAATCCTCCACGACCCCGGAACCCCTCACCACGAGGCCCGCCACGGCCACGGAAGCCTCTACCACGTCCACTATTTTGCCTGGCGTGGTGGCTGACGACCGGTTTGAAACCGTCATTTGGCTCTGGAGAAGCTCCATCTGCGACGGAGGTTTGCACTGGAATATCTTCAGCCCAGCTACCAGAGGTGGGGAGTGTTGGATGCACACCTTGTGTTGCTGTTGTTGTTGATGTACCTTCTACATCAGCTTTCTCGATTTCGACCCATCCCTCAGCGGTGGTCGAAGCGGACATTTTTGATCCTTGATTATCCCACCTCATTTGAGCTCTTGGGTTTGCCGTTTCGTTGTTAACAGCGGATTGGCTTGGGGCAGAAGAAATTTCATCTGGGTGTGGGGTTCCAGAAGTTGGGAATCCGTTGGTCGTAGGTGCTTGTTGAGCAGCTAAAGGAGGGTCCTGAAGTTCAGTTAGACCGGCATGAGCGATTGTAGGATCGGTCACGACATTGGTTCCGGCAGCAGAAGCTGATTCGGATGGCTGAGTCTCCTCAGTCCACGCTTCAGTAGCGGGGGGGATATATTCTAGAGAAGCTTGTTTGACCCTCGAGTCTATTCCCTCGTCGAATTAGAATAGCAATATACAATCACTGATACTTCAACGGGGTTACTCACATGGGACGTCGAGAGGCTCCGCATCAACACTTGGAACAATGTCATCCGTGCCGTTGATCAGTTTAACCATAGCGCTGACTGCCTCCTCTGTTCCCCCATAGACCTGGAACAACGCGCCTTCAAAAGCTCGGCTATCACTTGAAGTTTCGTCTCCAGAGCGTCTCATGGCCGCAGCAGCGCGCAAAAATTGGCTGAGCACCAACAATCTTTGTTCGAATTCTTTTTCAACAGATTCTAATATCTCTGCAGCAACCTTTTCTTTAAGGACTTTCAACTCATCTTTGTGGGCCTTTTCTATTTCGATTTTCTGGCTGGAGAGGCGGTCTTCATAATATTGCCCATATTGCTTGTACTGATTTATTTGCTCCTCAATTTGGAATACGGCCGCTTGCAGGGAAGGTTTCTTTAAGACTTGGGCCTTTTGGTCCGCATTGATCTTCTTCTCTGCCACTAGTTCATCGAGAGACTTGTTCGGGTTTTCCGCAATGATGTTATCAACTTTGGAAGTGGCATTCTAGGGTAGTATTCGAATTAGCAATGCAGCTAGCATATATGCAAAGCAGAAACGACATACCAATTTCTTGACAGCATTCCGATGGCTCCTGCATTGAGGTGTAATAGTTAGTGCTATGTTACGAAAAGTTTTTCTTTGAGGTAGGATGCCAAAAAGTGTACTTGTGCAGATCCTTCAGAAAGCCGGGCTCATGGGCGCCAGCCACTCCATTTGGAGCAGATTCTGTCGTAGGGGTTGCGGGATTTGGGGGATCTGTCACAGCTCCGGAGACGGTGGAAGAGTTCTCGCCCTTGGCGCGCTTCTTCTTTGCTCCCTTAGCATCAGGTTGGGGAAGGGGATTGGTGACAGCGGCAGACATGGCTGGATGGGTACGGCGTTGTCGTGTGACAGGGAAGGAAAACAGAAAAAGTTTTCCCGCAGGCGCAAGATGTGAATAAAAGAGTCGCGATACAACTCGTAGAGGATTATTTGGATCAGTAGGAATAACGAAACGAATTAGGGGGGGAGAGAATGAGTAGAGGTTGTAGGTGCCTTGCGTGTGGAGAAAAAAGAAAGAGGTTTGCGTTGACTCTTTGATCACTGGAAGAATGCGGCAGAATTTGCTCAGCGGTGTCAGCTCAATGTCAGCCAGCGTGCTGCCCGACGCGGGACATGCATAATTTATTTTTTGGTAGGTAGACACAATTAATTCATTCTGTTATATTTCTGTGCTCAAAACAAAGCTGTATGAGATTGACTTTCAAAGCTGCTATTTTACCCGTTCCATACAGCGGTACGCTGCAGAGGCGAAGAAATCGATTACAAATGGCATAGAGGGGCTTCAGGATGACTGCCGTATATAAATACATAATAAGAAGACTGCAAACTGCAAAAACGCCAATTTCGCTCGGGGTATCATTTAAAAAGTAAAAGGAAACGAAAATTCCACGTTGCTCCATCCGTAAACTAGAGATCCCAACGCCATCGCCCTCTTCGCCCTCGCCAATTTCAAAGGGTAATGATTCGGGAAAACTACGAAACCACGCCTCGGGTTCATTCACCCTTTGAATTTCCTCAGGGTACCCTGATAACCCAACGGCGACCGTTATGTTAGACAGGTTTAACGCTTGAATATCTAAACTCGATAGGGATTTAGAACTCACCTCGGTTACCTTTCTGACGCTTCTGGCCGAGATAACTTTCTCCCCAGCTCTCCTCGCCCGGATAGATGCCTCACGCATCAGTCTGTTAAATAAAAGTCATTTCCTTGACCGACAATAATGATTCCGAATACCTGTCGAGAAGGACAATGCGGACGGGGTTCAATTCCTACTCTTGCATGAATAGCATATAGTCCAAGAATATCTGGTAAATCAATGCCAACGACAACATTAGCTAAGGGCATCCAACGGCAGATCCGCAGCAAAACATAGGTATTATAATTGAGGCGCACCAAGATATCTGCGTTTTTGGATATATTGCGCTTCGAATGGGCTTTCACGATGCGCTTGACTGTTGCCCGCGGATACAATTTGGGAGTGACCACCATTGTCATCAGCCTGAAAAGGAACAGACGCAGTGACAACAGCAATTGAAATTCCTCGTGTAATAACTCTAGATGTTGGATATGCTGCGCATCCAGAAGTCGTATTAAAAGAGATCCTCCTTGCAATTGTCGATGTGATGGCAAGGAAATTAATCACTACGAGTGCGATGCTTCGATGGTGTTTTTGTTTACTCTTTGCCAAGACATTATTGTCACATGATGAGGCTCGCTGATGTGACGTCATCACGGATAAAATATAGTCCGGGTTACTTTGAGAGGGAATGCGCAGATACTGGCCTCTTATTGGCTGGGATTGATCCTCCTCCGTCTCCAGCATTGCCCAATCAGGAAATCTAGCCCCAGTTTTGATAGAAAACATCAGCCTGAGAACGACAACAACTGTCTCGGTCTCTGGTGTGTGTGACGGTATATATATAGAATTGCTGGGGACTGTCTGTGTAACTGTTTTGAGCAGCTCGTTCAGCCACCCACTCTTCCACGCTCTTGAACCACATCCCAACGCCATCCGTTACCTCGGCGCTGCAACCATGCGTTTCGGCCTCACTCTCAGAAAATCCATCTATCCACCCTGGAAGGACCATTACATTGACTACAAAAAGCTGAAGCTGCTGTTGCGTGAACACGAAACCAGGGACGACTCGCAGGATGGGAGTGATGATGAAAGCCCCGAATGGACGGACCAAGATGAAGAGACGTTTGTGCAGGAGTTGATCAATGTTCAGCTCGACAAGGTCAATGCCTTCCAGGTCAACACCTATAAGCAGCTGCGGGATCGGACCTCAGACTGCGAGGCCAAGTTAGAGCCTTTGGTTGTCAAAGATGATGGTTCTCATCAGGTGAAGGATGCGGATCAGAGGAGACAGATGGCTGAGAGTGCCATGAAGGATCTAGACACGATTACCAAGGAACTTAGCGAATTGGAAAAGTACAGCCGTATCAATTTCACTGGATTTCTAAAGGCTGCGAAAAAACATGATCGGAAACGAGGTACGCGCTACAAGGTAAGGCCGCTGCTTCAGGTGCGATTGTCCCAGCTGCCGTTTAATTCAGAGGACTATTCCCCCCTTCTCTACCGTCTGTCGACTATGTACTCCTTCATCCATCAGAATCTGGGACAACGCGGCTCTGGACAACCTACCGATGGTGGACCCACTGTGGATACGCATCTGGGACAGGATGCATATACCTCGCATAAATTTTGGGTGCACATGGACAATGTTCTGGAAGTGAAAACGTACATTCTACGCCGCTTGCCCGTGTTAGTTTACAACCCCAGTGTGTCTACCAAGGACCTCCAAATGACCCATAAGGATCCAACAATTACCTCTCTATATTTTGATAGCCCTAAGTTCGAACTGTATAACCAAAAGGTTGCCAAAACACCCGGGGCCAGTTCTTTGCGTCTTCGCTGGACTGGCCAATTAAGAGATCGGCCAGAGATTTTCTTGGAGAAAAAAGCCATGAGCGATGGGGATAGCAGCAAGGAAGTCAGAGTCCGCATTAAGGAGAAGCATATTGAATCGTTCTTAAAGGGGGAGTACAAAATGGAAAAAATCATCAACAGGATGGAAAGCCGTGATGTTCCCGTTTCAGACAATGCGGAGGCTCTGAGGAGGGATGTTGAAGAAATCCAATCCTTTATTCGAGAGCAGAGGCTCGAGCCCGTTCTCCGAGCTACTTTTACCCGAACGGCATTCCAGATTCCGGGCGATGATAAACTTAGGATATCCCTTGACACCGACTTGGCTCTTATCAGGGAGGATTCGCTGGATTTGGAACGCCCTTGCCGAGATCCCGATAATTGGCATCGGACAGATATTGATGATAGAGAGATGGAGTTTCCATTTTCAGAAATCCGCTCGGGTGAAATCTCTCGATTCCCTTACGCCCTCCTAGAAATCAAAGTACGAGGCGGTAACCTACGTAGGGCAAACAGGGAATGGCTGCTTGATTTGATGTCATCTCACCTCGTCAAGGACGCTCCTCGATTCTCCAAATTTGTCC